AATCATGACATGCATCTTGACTGTTCATGTCAGCTATTTATGAAATGGCTGACTCAGGTTGAGCTCAGATCACAGTAATAAACCAGTTTGTCTTTGAGAAAGTTAAATAACCTCTATGGTGATTGAGCCTTGGTTTACAAGTTTTAGCACAAAAGGTGGCCTGATATAATGGAATGAGCATCTTATGTGGAGTTGGACAGTCTGGGTTTGGAATCTAGACCCACCACATACTGTCGGTGATATTGAATAGATTATTTAATAACTCTGAGCCCCGGTTTCCTCATCTGATGATCAAGGATTGTGCAAATCGCCTAAGACGACATACGTGGAAGTGTGTGACACGTAACACGGTTTTATAGCTAGGCTTTAACCCACAGCCCAACTGCAGCCTAGGGACTAGTGACTCTAAGAGAATCTCTCAGGTGTGTCTCCCATCATGGTCTGAGAATATACACGACAACAAATGTTGATGCTTCAAGGATACCTCAGAGAACCAGGTATAAACCCAGTCTCCTGGGGGAATGGCAACCTGAGCCCACTGAAATGTAGCAATCATCAGAAGACTGGGTGGGATCAGTGGTGAGAGAGGGGAGAAGAGACAGAGCCAGACGCTGCTCTGGCCACCACACCACGGAGATGCCACCTCGATGCTCCTTATGGAAAGGAGAGTGCACCTACAATACAAGGGGGACTGCAACCTCAGTGTCTTATGGGTACAAAGAGGAAGACAATGACTTATTCTTATCTGAGCAGCTGTAGTAGTGGGGCCCCAGCTGCATGGCTCCCCGTGCCAAGGGGAAATGGAAAATACCATAATAGCCTCTCTTGTCTCCATTCCCTTTTCCTAGATGAGCTTTTTCCCACTGGAGCACTGGAGCAGGGCTTTCTTCCCGCTTCTCGTATTCCGCCTGCCAGGGCCAGAGGCCAGCCTTACCCTGGGCTGATTGGAGGGGGGTTGGGTAGGCTCTGACCCAAGAAAATTCCCTTTACAGGGTCTGTCCTAAGGCCAGAAAGTCCATTACGACAGACTCAACACTCTGGCTTTAAGGCTTCATATACAAGTAAAATAGAAATAACCTCCCTGCAACTTGTCGCATCTTCTCAGACACATCACACATCATCGATACACGTACTGTGGGTGAGTTTACCATATTCTCTCCAGAGAACACAACTGGCGGGACAGAAAGTGTGAAATGCTGGGCGAGAGTAATAGCTGGGAGGAGACAAGTAGACTTGGTCAATTTCCCCTTGTCAGTTACGAAACAATAATGATGATACCGACAAGGGTGATGCCCAGTGACTGTATGTGATCTCTTGTTAACCTCTCAACAACACTATTTATAAACCCCATCCTACAAAATGAGGAAACTGAGTTACGGGGGATTATGCAACTTGCCCAAGGTCACGCGGCTAGTAAGCGGATAAGCAAAGTCTGTGCACTTAATCTCTGTGCTGTTCTGGCTCTTCCAAGAGAGGTGCAGCGTGGTGTTTCTCTTTCACACATTTCTGCAACCAGACCACTCATGGTGGACTTAGCTGGGTATCATGACCGAAACCTCTTAGGTCTTTTGTTTCCAAAACAAAAATGATGGCGGCCAAGGAACAGTGGCACCAGCAAAATTTTTTCCTGCAGTTTGTTATCTGGAACCTGGTCTTGATGTCATGAGACCTGCATTCTCCAGTCTATCGGCAAATGAACAAAACAGTTGGAATCACAGTTTTCAGAGCAGAACCTCAAAGGGGACTTGAAGACTCGGCAACATGCATCATCCCCGTGTTCTTGTTCATTGCTCTTAAGAGTCCTCTGAGCAGCCAAACAGATCTTCCGCATTCACATTCCAGAAATGCCCCTGCCCCTACCCCCATGTTTTGCCTGGAAAAATCCTTCTTATCCTTCAAGGCCCAGCTCAAATGTCACCTCCTTTATGAAGTCCTTCCTGACCCCACAGGCAGAATTAATTGATCCTCCTCTGTGCTCCCAACAGCACCACTAGTATAGCACTTACCACACTGCATTAGTTAGTTGCATAAGTAAGATCCTTGAAGTCAGGGATGTCAAAATGTTAAAAAGAAAAAAAAAAAGGTATGTCTCAGAAGTGATGAATGATGGTAATAAGTGCTTAGCAAATGTTTCTAGAACTGGATTGTGAACCCAAGGTGGAACAGATATTCCTAGGACCCTGTGACAGCCCATGCTTCTTAGTAAAGAAGGAATTGGGAGTTGGTGGGGAATGGTGTACAACTGCATTGCTGATTTCAAATATTTAATCCCACAGATTAGTTAAAGGGATGAGTGGCCTGATGTGCTATTCCTGTGAAAAAAACACCTCCCCATCTCCCGTTTGATATACTAGAAGGTTCAGTGACAATATATTCTTTTTTTAAAAAAAAGATTTATTTATTTATTTGAGAGAGAAAGACAGAGGGGCAGCAGGGGGGAGGGGCAGAGGGAGATGGAGAGAGAATCCCAAGCAGACTCTGCGCCAAGTGCAGAGACCCATGCAGGGCTGGATCCCATGCCCTTGAGATCACAACCTGAGCCAAAACCAAGAGTCAGACATTTAACCGACTGTGCCACCCAGGCGCCCCATCAGTGACAATATATTCTAATCAAAATTGGGGGCCACCTAATGCAACAAATGTGATTACAGCGACAATAGGACAGAGTATTTGCGTCTGCCTTGATTCTGCCTCTTTAAGCCATGTCAACCCAGTGCTGTTCACATCTGCTCATGAAGAAAACAGTTAACTGCCCAGTTTTCTCCCAGCTCATTATAGCCCTGCTTTGAAATATAAAAGCACTGGGGGTGGGTGGTGCCTGGCTGGCTCAGTCAGTAGAGCATGGGACTCTTGGTCTCAGGGTTGTAAGTTTGAGCCCCACGTTGGGTGTAGAGATTACTTAAAATCTTTTAAAAAAATATAAGAATTAAAAAAAGCGTCAAAAGGTGTGACCCCTTCCCAGCTCCAGACTGTTGGCTCTGTGAACGTTGCTTCCATTTCTCCTTGGCCCTCTGGACCTGGTGATTATATATTCTCTCCCTGGTTAGTGTCTGGACCTATGATTTTCATAGGGCCTTTCTGTAGGGCAGGCCTTACTGGGGCTCAGCATCCCAGGCTGTCTCATCAAGAATCTGTGTTCTAGGGGCATTTGGGTGGTGCAGTCAGTCAGGTGCCTGACCCTTGGTGTCAGCTCAGGTCATGATCTCAGGGTCGTGAGATTGAGGCCCGTGTGGGGCTCCATGCTCAGCACAGAGTCTGCTTAAGTTTCTCTCCCTCTCCCTCTGCCCCTCCCCACCTCTGAAACAAATAAATCTAAAGAAAAAAGAATCTGTGTTCTAGCTCCTTCCAAGAAATACACCCCCTCCCAGAGATGGGCTAAGCCATGTGCTTATCTTTTCTAGACACACTCCTTCCCTGCCCCCTAAGCACACATAAGCACACATATAAACTCATGCAAGATAAACCAACTTGTCACTGAAGACTTTAGATGTGTGGTTGGTTGACCGAAAGTCTCCTGGAGTAAAAACTCCTTTTTAAAAATTGAATTATACTAAGAAAATTGAGCCTAGTGGCTTAACACAATTTGTGCAATATTTTAAACGTGTAAGCAGCTCTGCACACTAGCAGTCAGGGACAGAGAGTCTTTCCTGGGCAAAGGACAAAAGGCTAACTTTTAAGGGGGTGATGAGGGAGAGAGCCAAATAGGCAAATTGTTCCTAGTTTGCTTTTGTGCCTAGACCCTTGGTGGGACGCCAGGGACACCAGAAACCTGAAGGTCATCTTCCCCTTTCCGCAGGCTGCCAGCGCCCAGGTTGTTATCGGGGCCCAGTCAGAAAGCACCAAGGATTACTATCTTCCAATTTAGTCCGATCTTCCAAATTAGTCCAATTTAGGCCAGGCACACCCTGCTCAGCCTCCAAGTCAGGGTAGTCTGCCTCCCTCTAGTGCCTTCCCCGACCTTAGTGAATAAAGGAAGCGAGAAAGAACAAAGGACCTCATTTGTTTCTTCTCCTGATTTATTACTGACATAGTATTTGGGGGTGTTCAAACTACCAAAAAAAAAAAAAAGCCTATGTATATTTCCTTTGAAAGGGGAGGGGTCTGCCAAGAAGGTCCCCCAAGTATTAGAACTGAATGCATCCAATACCATAGGAATTCTACTTCACAGGTACAGTTAGACCTGCAAATCAAACCACTGAGAACATCAGAAGGGAACAGAATTTGGATGAGAGATGCACTCCCTCATTTTACAGATGAGGACTTTTAGGCCTGGAAGGTTAATTAGCTAGTTAATGGCAAAACAGGTCCTAGAACTCAAGTGTTTGGACTCCTAGTTTGGGGATTTCCCAACAGGGAAGACACCTAAACCCTTACAATTGTACCTGTAATTACGTTTGGCTCATTGGACTTAAAAACACCGTGCAAACAGAACTGCTATCACAAGAGATCTTGGTGATTGATACAAGCAAATGCACAGACTCAACGGGCCTAGCATTTCCACCAAAGGACCGAAGCAGTACATTGTATTCTAAGTACAAAATTGTCATTGCCCAGGCCCCTGACAGGACCGGATTCCCATACAAATCAAGCCAGCGGGCTAACAGCTTACCTAGGTGACATCTTATACCTTTCACTCCAGCCCCAGCCAGCGGGTGATATAAATCGGGCAGGAAGATTGTGTAAGTTTTCCTGGTAGAATTTGGGAAGAACTGTGTCAACAACGCCCCTTGCTGGTCAACACAAGAAAATGCAAAAGCTATTGCAGACAAAATCAGGGCTCTAGCAAAGGTCACAGCCATGTCTCTTAAGTCGTCTTGCAGTCTATGGGAACCGTGGCCAGGTCAAGGCAGAAAGCATGGGGAAAACAGCGGGGGGGGGGGAAGCTGCATTTTTTCCGGAGATGTTTATATGTGCCTAATTAAGGTTGGATCTCAAAGAAAGCAGATACATTTTTAGTATCCCATTGAGTCTGAACAGGCAGCTATAAGACCCAGAGACACATGTTATGCTTATACACACAAACAAGATTTTTATTGTTAACATCAACGAACACAGATGGAAGAATATTCATGTGCCAAGGACATATTGCTCACAAGATCACAAAATGGCTGTTGATTTGTATTCGTAAATGATTTGGTGAATCACTACATGTTTTTGAGTGAAATAGATACATATAAAGAAGAGATTTCTGAAGCTTCATTTCCATTTGGACTCTCGTGATACCGTCCCGAGAAGGAGAAAACAGAAGCTTTGAAGTTAAATACTTACATACTTTTATGGATAGCCTGATTCCACCCAAATGAACACCTACTTCCTCCCATCGCCCACATTTTAAGTAGCACACAAAGAAAGCATGAGAAACACTGATTTGGCTCCATGATTTGCCTCATGAAAGGCCTTTTTTTTTTAAATCTTTTTGAGTTTTAAAAAAAATCCTCCGTCAAGCTGTCCAGGGTGCTTGATGACGTCACAGAAGCAAAGTGTTTCCTAAGCAACTCCAGGGCCCTGTTATTTCTTGCTTGCAGGGTCTTCTCGGCTCTCAGCTCGTTCTTGATGGCGTCCAGCTCCCCGCGGACCTTTTCCATCTCTAGCTCATAATACAGTTTCATCTCTTCCTTCAGGAGTGCGTTTCCAATCTCTGTCTGACGCTTGAGTTTCCTAACAGCCTCTTTTAAATCTCGGTTCTCTAGGCTCAGCCTGTGGATGAGTTCTTTGGCTTGCTGGAGCTCTTCGGTTAGGTTCTGGACGTTTGTCGCTTTCTCGGATAGGTCATTTCTTAAAGCTTGAAGCTCCCAGTCTTTCTTCGAAGTTTCTGCCCCTGTTTCCTGAAACTTGAGGGGTTTTGCGGAGACTTCTTTTTTGGAGTTCAAAAGTTCTTTTTCAGCATTTTCAAATTCCTCTTCTATTTTCCTGCATTTCATGTTAAGTTCTTCCAGTTCTTCATTCAAAAGATTCAGGCGAAGTTTTGGAGACATTCCGTCGGTAAATTTCTTCTTTATGTCTGATCGTGGTAGGATTGGTAATTCCTTTGTACTCCAGGTAGAATGGTCTTCTGTGCTGTTAAAGCTTTCTTCGGTCACCACATCCAAATTAGATGAGTCACAGGAGACAGAATTTGTGTCTGCTTCGTTTTTTGAAATGTTTATCTTTCTCTCTCTTAACTTTGGTTCTTGTTCTTTTTCATTTAGTTGAGAAATAAATTCTTTCCTCTTAAATTTATTTTCTTCTTGAAACTTTCTACTAGACAAATTATAAATTCCTTCTATTCTACTGGCCTTATCTAAAGTCATTTGTTCAGAAGAAGATTCAGGTTGAGAAGCCTCATCTAGAACATCCTGTGCACTAAAGAAAGGAGCAAACATATTCTCCTTCCAGTGTTTTCTTCTAGCGTCCATTTCTCCAGGTACGTCCTCCAATTCCTGAAAAACAAAATTTAAAATCAAGGCACACTGTTTACACTGGCAGCTGGTGTAATGGGAAGAACTACTTGTAGTGGCTCAAGGGGGAAAGAACCTCAATAGTGGAGGACGAGCTTCAGGTCCCTCTTTCATGAACTGAACACCAGTTACGTGTCACAGACTCTTCCAGTGTTAAACTTCTCTGTTGCTATGCAGTATAATCAATCAACGGACACTTTGGGCTATTTACTGTAGAGAAAACGTTTCTATGAGAAAGCAACCATACACATGAAAATGAACTGCTTCTAAAGAATAAAAGTGATTTCAAATTAACAGGTTAATATTAACAGTAGGTTACTACCTGTGCTTCCAATGTGCTTGATTTTTTTTTTCTAGTTCATTTACGTTGGACTATTTATTCATTCTTTAAAGTGACTAAAATGTCAGGGCTTAATGCAATGTGAGCTGCTTTTGGTAAAGTATACCATGCAGACTTCCTTGTGAGTAACTCTGCCAAATGCCCTTCTGTCTTGACCTGCAAATTCCTGCTATTCCAGTCTTGGGCTTTGCTTTTAGGCAAGACTGCCAAGTGCACAGAATTCTATCCATTTTGACAGCAATTTCATGATGAGAACCGAATGTCAATGAGTGAAAATATCAATGCCACCGAATGTGTTCTTCTCGAGATACTGACTCCAAGTGTAGTTTTCAGGTGGAAAACATAACATACCAAATCACAGCCAACTTTCCCAATTTCTAAAAATTAGAGGATATTTATTTGTTCCAAAAGGAATCTTCCCTATTCAAAGAGAATCCATAACACACAGCTTTCCTAACATACGGAAATATCTGATCAAATATAACTACTCCTCAGAGTAGGGAGAAAGAAGGACCCAAGCAACACACTGAAAGGCCACTGACATGTGAAACCACCAAACCAGCAACTGCAGTGATTGCCAAAGGGGAAGAAAAAGGAGGGGGTCCCGTTCTGCGGTTTATACATTCATTTGCTGCAATGCATTTACAGCATCGCCACTGAGAAAAATCAAAGGATGCCTGCATCTCTTTTTCCCAAGCACACAAATACAATTTTATCTTGGCAACTCTGAAAATGGCAATTGCTGCATTCCTTTTTTAAAGTAATATTTTCTTTACTATTATTCAAGATTATAATGTTAGAATATTATTTAGTATGTAATACATATTTACATAACATTGCATATAATATAAAGATTCTAAAAAAAAAGATTCTAATAGTAGTGGAAGCTCTTTGTAGAATTCTGGAAAATACAGAAAAGCACAAAAAACAAAAGGAATCTCCCTCATAATCCCATGGTTCTGAGATAACCACTTTTTGGTATATCATCTCTCCGGTATGTTTTTTTAACAACAGTAGTTTAAATGCTAGGTTTCCCTTGTTATGGTGAGAGAGTAAACTTGCTATTGTGTACTGAACATGCCTAATCCCACCCAAGAAAGAGGGAAGGGACTCGCTATCCCCAAGGGTACATTCCCCACCGGCAACTACTTGGTTTTGAGGAAAGGGAAAGATACAGATCTTCAGTGAAGGTGTTAGAATGATTGGTTCAAAAGCCATAAACCAAGCTTTATTTAAGTTTGGTTAACCGGACCGCAGTAATAAGCGGAGATTTGAAATTCATGGTCTATGTTTGCCATTGAAGCATCATCTCCATTCTCTTGAAATAGTCCTTTCTGACTTTTATTATTCTACTAAATCACCACGCAGAAGCATCTATGCTCTAGCCTTCCTTAAAGGGGAAGATCATCCTAACCCTGGTTTCTCTCCTCTCTTAGGAATATGAATGCAAACGGCTGGGAGTTATCATGGTGGTCAGAAGAGAAAGGAACAGAGGAAAGATAGAAGACAGTGAAGCTAATTGCCAGTCACATTTTTTTAGCAGTCACAGTTTACCCAGACAATTCTGTAAAAGATACAAATGCCTCGAATCAGGTAGCAATGGGAGACAGGTTACTATTCCTTGTACCTAACTCTGGATGAAAAGGCACTGGGAGATTGATCGGAAAGGGAAGTGTGCGGGGGGGCAAGTAAGGGGAGGCCCCTGTATTCCTGGAGATAGTGATAACAAGAAATCTGAGATTGAGATCTGGGTACAGAAAAAGGTTAAAACAGAAAAAACTCTTTTCATTAATAAGTTTGCACCCTGAGCAAGTGACTTCTATCTCCAACCCTCCCATAAATCTCTGGCAAAAACATACATGCATTTTTTTTTTCTCTTCAATTTCACTACCTTTCTTCCTTGAGCTTCTGTACATTTTCCTGATACAGTCAGTGCTTTTCAAAGAACTGGGAAGAGTCCAGTTATTTTATAACCGAGGCTCAGAGAAGTCAGGTGACTTGACCGAGTCCACACAGCCTGTAAGTGGTAAAACTGAGACCCTGTCTCCCAGGTCAGTGCTTCTTCTAAAATTCCTCTTTATTCTTCTGCTAGGTTTCGTTCCACAAACTGAAAGAAAACAACCCACTATTTTCAGAGCTTAGGTACTTTTTTTAAAGGGCCACAAAAGGAGAGAGGAAAAATGAAGGGGGGAGGGTAAGGAGAATTGCATGTCACATATCAAAGGACAGAAAGAGAAAGGTTTGAAAAGCCTTCTGGAATTTCCCTCCCATGGCTTACACAGGACAGGGTCAAGGGGTCTCTGAGCTGCCTCTTTCTTTCTTTCTTTCTTTCTTTCTTTCTTTCTTTCTTTCTTTCTTTCTTTCTTTCTTTCTTTCTTTCTTTCTTTCTTTCTTTCTCTCTCTCTCTCTCTCTCTCTTTTTCTTTCTTTCTTTCCTTTCTTTTTTTTTTCCTCTTTCATTGGCAAGATATTCTTGAAGGGCTTGTTCCCAAATCTAGTCACAGAGTGTGGCAAAGCACAGACTGGGGGGTAAAAGCTGCCAGTCTCATTTTTCCTTCCCAAACTGCACTGTTTGTTTTTTATGCAGAACAAGTATGACATTAGTATTCTCTGGCAAGGCCAAGGAATATGCTTTGAAACAATGGCGCTCCTCTACCCTGCCAGGGCAGCCATTTTGCTCTCAATAAACTTGATTGGGTAATTTGTTGCAGCATAGGGCAAATCAAACCAGAAGCCATTACTGAAAGTATAAGCAGGCCTTTTTAGTGGGTCAATTGTGAATATTTATTACTGTAACTGCCTCCCTAACACTACGTTGGTCACTGAAGGACTAAAGGGTAAGGGAAGGAGGTCCAAGAGAGATGAAAACTTGGAAGAAACAAACAAGCCAGAACACAGGAAAACACTATAAAGTCATGTGGCAAAAATAACATTAATGGTCCTCTAAGACAGCAATCCCCCAGAAGTCCTTGGGACTGCGCTGTTAAGACAAGGGTGTCCATAATACGGCTACATCTATTCATTTGTGCCTGACATAAATTAGTAATAGACTCCTGATCGTTCTAGTTAGTGTCTCTCTGAAAACATCACCATTTATCCTTTGGTGACTTTCTTGTTTTGGTGGCAAAGTAGTAGGGCATTTTGGTGGAGTAAGGGATCGCCTGACTCATGGAAGTGGTTTATATTCATCGAAAGAATTTGGGAACCACTGATAAAATAAATTGCAAATAAATTTATAATGTAATGTGATGTAACATAAAAGAATTGTTGAGAGCTAAGCAAAGAGTGATCATTTATTATGGATCTTCAGGCAAACCATTCCATAAAAATCATAGGTGAACGCACAGCTATCGTTGAAGAGCTCCAGAAAATAATGCACCGCTATTTGCCGTGAAAGGAGAAACCCACAAAACCATCTCATTTCCATTTTCAAGGTAGCGGGCCCTGGGGAATAGACCCATATTAACGTGGATAAGTGGTTAAATATGTGAAATCTAATTATTTGTTTTCTAAAACATTCATTTTTAAAATCACACGCTTTAGGGAAATTTGCTAACCTAAAAATCAAAGACTTTTTTTTTTTTTTCCGTTGCCTTATCTCATTTACATTGGAATTTGATTTCAAACTTTCAGGACCATCTCTTTTGCATAAATCTACATCTGTCTGCAAAATGCGATCATTCTTCCAGGCAGGGGTAGGCAGGGACTGGGAAACAGTTCTGGAAGACCTCCAGAGGCTTCCCCCACCCCCTCCCCTCGTCAGAGTGTTTCATCCCAAACAAACTTCGTAAATTGGGAATGGCAGTTGCAAAAGGTCATCTCCAACCTGGGACGGTCAAACTGTTGTCACGGCACTCAGCCCCCAGCCACCCTCAGCTAGAGGCGTGGCTTGTAGTCACAGCCCCGGAGCAGTAGGGGGAAGACAAAGGGCCCTTCTTAGCACAGGGAACTTTTCCCCATTATTCTTGGATGGTTTCAGTTCTCCCAACCCTCAGAAAAACTGCTTGGCCAAAATAAGGAAGGAGAAAAAAAAAAAAAAAAGTCTGCTACAAAGAAAGTCACTGGCCTGGCTTCTTTGCTCAATTGTCTGATCTGTTCTCACTTAAAACCAGTAGTTCTCGACCTTTTTTTTCTGCCTCCACTATTCCCAGGCACAAAGCATCATTACCCTCTCTCCCAATTTGAGAAGATTCTGGCCCCTCTAGGGGAGCTTCTCCATTCTCTACCCTCTTGAGAACCACTGGCTCGCAGAAAAATGTTAAATACCAAAATGAGGACCCAAATGAAGTGTCTGAAGTCAAGGTGGGGAAACACGTTGTTAGCGTGCAAAATTGTGGGGATGAAGGAAAAGGAAGTTCTTGCGAAAGGAACTGAGTGTGAGAATTATAGTGAAAAAATCCTGAGGGGTGGCAGGTATCTTGACTCCACACTTTAGAACAATGGGAAAACTTACCTTATGTGAGCTTCAGTTTCTCCCAGTATAAAATAGGGACAATAGATACCCATTTTACAGGTGGTTAAGAGAAACGAATAAAAACAAAAACGGAAGCAACTGTAGTCTACTGTAAACAACAAGTTTTGTTCTTTTTCAGATTTTCCTTACCCTCCCTTGGAACAGAAACCAGCCAGTCAAACAACCCAACCCTTCTCCCAAGAGATGTGCTCCAAAATTGTCAGCCTGAAGTTATCAGACCCCAGAAAGAGTCAGTTTGGAGGGGGGGAAATGTAGGTGCTACTAAAACAAGCAGTGAGGACCCTAAGCTCAAATCTTACATTAATTTAGCATGCATCCTCAGGGAAGGTCAGCCCCAAATCCCGAAGGTGGCCGATGCCCCCACATTTCTGAAGCCAAAGTGATTCTGAGGTAGTCTTTTCCACAACTGGAGATATTTGCATTTTATATCCAGTTGCTTTACCCAGAACTTTCCAAATGCCCCAGTGTTTTTCAGAGCCTCCAATAACTTCTTAGAAATATCACAGTTGGAGTACCGATTTGGGTATTAGCGAGGATGACTCTGCACTCTTAAGTTTTTCCCATGCTGCTTCGACAGCATTTCATCATACCAATACACTGTGATCCCCTGGCATCCCCTTCAATATCTGTTGAATGAATGAGCCTTAATATTCTTAATATTCTTTCTGGAAATTCTATAATGCTGCAATTCTAACCGAGTTTTTGTACATACTTATAATTTCTTCTCTGGTTTATGCAATAGTATTTTGGGAAACATGGTAGGATTTCTTATTTTTTCCCTCAAAGTTTATTTGGCTTAGCTAAAGTCTCCAGGACACTTTTTCTTTTGTATTTTCGTGAGGCTTTTTTGAGAATGTACGGACAATGCAGATTAACAAAACAGTTACAAGGTTGAAGACTCGATGTTGGGTCAGGCTCTGGGCTTCTGAACACCAACAGTAACAAGATACCAGCCAGCACAACTGTACTTACACTCTCCAACGTCCAAGGTCTTCTATTGGATGCCGTTGTTCTCCTTCTCCAGTTTGAACTGAAAATAAAATCCCCACAGCATAATTAGAAAATATAATTAACCAGAATGCCCAAATCCGTGTTTATATCTGAGATGTAGCTTAAAATGACAAGTGATATACTTAGAATGCCGTGTGGCCTATCTAAAATGTGATGCCAGACACTTTGAAGCAAGTTTTCTTTTTAACTTGCCAACCCACTTTCCCAACTGTCAAGCCACCAAGTCTTCCGTCCCCAAGCAATGCAAATATCAAATAGGACAAGAGTCATGGTGGCAGGTTATTCCACACGGCATCTCCCAGCCTTTAGCACCTACTGAGCAAATGAGCCACTGCTAGTGGCCACAGGAGCATGCTTGTTATTAATGAGCGTGCCAAGAGCCACGTTAGCAAAGGGCTGGAGCCCAGGCCTTGCCTCCCTCCCTCGGAGTCGGGTTAATTTGTGAAATCATTAAAAAGGAAAGCGATCTCGATTTTTTTTGCCTTCATCTTTCAGGGTCCTAACATTTGAGCCAAGTGCTCACTTCACGGGACAAATCGTCTTCCCTATTGTTTGGCAGATACTGAGAGTGAAGCAAAGTACCATTGAAAACTGGGCCCTGTAAACGGTTTTTACCCTCCAATTCTTTGTTATTGGCGTCAAACTATTCCTTGTAGAAGAAAAGATACGGAATCACCTTAATTCCAAAGGCTGAGTACTTTATTAGTATGGAAGTCACATTCTTGCTATAAAGCTGTATCTATGCATGCATAGTTTGGGGGTTTTCTCGGTAAATGGTTCACAAACTCCTGCGATCCCTGCTTCCAGTGGGGAGAAGGGGGCTCGGGTCTGGGCGCTCCCTGCCACCTCCCCAGTCCCTACACTCTGGGGGGTGGAGTGGGGGTGCGGGGGGGGGGAGAGGGCAGCGGGCGAGGCCTGACCCCACTCCTCCTTCCGCACCCCACTCCCACACCCTGTTCCCCTGGCTCCCTGGCGCTCGCCAGCTCCCGCCCCGGGTTCGGAGGAGAGCCGAGAGCCGAGAGCCGCAGTGAGGCTGGGGGTGGGTGGGTGGTGGTGGTGGTGGTGGTCCGAGGTGGCGGGGGGGGGGCGGGGGGACCGGGTGCCTCCGCCCGGGGTCCCTCAGCCGCGAGCCTGGGGCAGCCCCGGCGCTCCCGCGCGCACACGTACCTGGAGACGTGGGTGGGGTCCAGCGGGCCCTGGCCCCTCTTCCCCGAAGCCTGCCACCACCGGCGGGCGGCAGCCCTGGGCTCGGCGCTGGCCACCGCGACCCGGCCTGGCCGGCGCGGGGCAGAGCCTCTGCAGTGCAGCGCCAGCGCGGGCCGCGCCGTTGCCTAGCAACCGGCCGGCCGGATTTAAAGGGACCGGGGCTCCCGGGCCCCGCGCCGCGCGCCGGCCTCTGCCTGCCGCCAGTCGGAGCCCGCCCGGGCTCTGAGCATGCCCGGTGGGGCGGGCACAGCGGCGGCGGCGGCCCGCCGGCGATGGGAGCTCAATCGGTCGAGGGCTGAGTCAGGGTGGGAAGGGGCGAGAAAGTGCGAGGCGGCCCCACCCACCGTGGGCTTATTACGGAGGGTCTGAGTGACTCACAAAGCCACCTGGACGCGGCGACTGTGCGGGGAGGAGGGCGTGGCACAGAGCTCATCCCTAGGCCTGCCGTTTAGTGGCCTGACTTTGAAGAGGGTTAGCTCGGGAAAGTCGCCTGGGTGTGCTTCAGGGTCCTTAACGATGTGGGAACTGCACCCTGCCGCCCACCCCCCACGCTCACCCCTGCCCCTCTGCACAATGGTCTGGCCGGAATTTCTGCCTCTGGCCAGGGTTCTAAGGGCCCGCGTGTCCGGAGAGCATTGTCCCCGCGTTGTGCCCCTGGGGGAGGCTGGGCTTGTGTCTCTGGTAGCTCAGGCCTCCTCATTTGTCACCGGGAAACAACATCCCCCAAACCACTGCTGCACCCATGTGTGTGTAAAATCTACTGGGGGCACTCAGTCCTACACCACTGCTCTCTTCTAGCTTCAAAGTTTGCTCCCAGCTTCCGGCATTTGGTTGGGGGAACAAGCGCATGTTCTTCATTATGTTAAGAGACTCCAGTCCCAGTGTTTGGCTGAATAAATGTTCTTCTCAGACTGGGATTAGCCCGGTTGCCCGCTGCTGATTCTTCCATCACCAAATGGGTCACACACACTGATAACACACGGTGGCTCTGGTCCGATCTGGACCCAACCCAGCTGGGCCTGACCAGACGACAGACCCAGCAAAGGCTGTGGGCGCTGGAACAGAGCGGGTTTGGGGCGGTTCAAGATTGTGATAATTGTGACTTTTAGGAAGGCTCGTCCCTATTTTCTAGAAAGGAAACATTGGCTCTGGAATCTCAAGTAAAAGGTTTAAGCGCGTTGGAAAAGGGACAGTCTAATTTCTCCAGCCCCAGCAAGGGACTGATTTAGAAGCAGTGCCAGGATACATTTCGAAACTTCAAAACTTCTTGAGAACCGGATCTAACAGGTGTTTGGGAGCTGGCAAAGGTACATTCAGAAGCCCTGAGGCCTAGTTCTCAGGCCTTCTTTTTCCTCCTTAGAGAACCAATGTCAACCAACAAGGGCTGGAGGCAGGAAGAGACCTAAAGTCATGGGTGTTTTGTTATGGACCCCGTCAGAATTAGTTTGTGGGATTCCGACAAAACTTCTTTTCTCCATATTAAGTCTCCACATTGCCTCGCATTTATCATTTCTGTTTTAATTATTTTAAAAGGGTTCCACTTGTTTTTGCGTGGTATAGGATCCCTTATTCATGTAATAAAAGAATCTTAATAGCTCTGTGCCTCAGTTTCCGTGTTTGTACAATGGGAATAATAATTGTGCCTAGCTCATAGGAGCGTTGTGAGGATTAAGTGAGTTAATACTTTCAAAACCTTCAGAGCAATGCCTGACACATAGCAAACTCTATATAAATGTTTGCTATTAGTATTAGTATTAGAATTACCTTCTTTGGGCGCCTGGGTGGCTCAGTTGTTAAGCGTCTGCCTTCGGCTCAGGTCATGATCCCAGGGTCCTGGGATCGAGCCCCGCATCGGGCTCCCTGCTCAGCGGGGAGTCTGCTTCTCTTCTCCCTCTCCCACTCCCCCTGCTTGTGTTCCTGCTCTTGCTCTCTCTCTCTCTCTCTGTCAAATAAATAAATAAATAAAATCTTTAAAAAAAAGAATTATCTTCTTTTATAAATTCATTACCTCCCTAAAAATATAAATTTAAGCACACAGATGGTGATAGCTCAGGGTGTGCTCTAGGAAGTGGATTCTGAAGTCTCAAGACTCAAAATTCCAAATCTTTATTTCAGATGGAGTCCCAGACTCCCATTAGGCAACCCCATTCGCCTGTCATATCCCTGAAAAAAGTGCACAAAGGGTTACTTTGGTCTTGCTGTACTTCTATTTTTAAATGTGGTAGGTCACTCTTTTATGTATTCAAACTATGAAATGGCAGAAAATCAACAACAGAGGGGACAGAGAGTTCTGTTACTCAAGGCTACTGCAGACTTGAAGATAGGTTTTCAAATAGGGAAGTCAGAAAACAGTTTACTATCCTCTGGAAACTGATCAATACAAAGGCAACAAGGCACCCGATGATAATAGAATCGTATGGTCATAGGATGGAGCTCAACATTCTTGCTTTACCAAGTAGGATATTGAGACCCAGAGAAAGAATGTTATTTAGCCTTTGATCTCACAGCAAAATAAGCTTCTTTTGATTTCCCTGATGAATGATCCTTGTTTGAATAGCCTCAAACCTGGCATATTTGAGGCAATGAAAAAATAGACAGTTACGGGTGTATATTGTATGTCAATAAGTATTTAAATGATTCATGCAGATAATAATAGCTAACCTCTCTCACACCCCACGACCTGTACATTGGCAGATTCTGTTGGCTCTATCTTCATAATGTATCCAGAATCTGATGGTTTCTCACCGTCTCCACCATTACCACCCTGATCCCGGGCCCCGTCATGTCTTGACTGGACTATTCCAGTGGCCTCCTAACTGCTTCTACCTTTGTCCACTGTATTAGCTTCGTAGGGCTCCCGCCATCAAAGTATCACACACTAGGTGGCTTAAAACATCAGACACTATTCTGTCAGCATGCTGGAGACCAAAGTCTGAAATCAAGGTGTCTGCAGGGGTGATTCCATCCGGAGACTCTGAGAGACAACCTGTTTCTCCTAACTTCTAGCTGTTGCTACCCATCTGTGGCCTTCTTTGGCTTGTAGACACATCACTCCAGTCTCTGCCTCTGTCTTCACATGGTGTTCTCCCTGTGTATCTGTGTGTCTTCACATAGCTGTTTTCCCTTTTTGTGTGTCTGTGTGCCCAAATTCCCCTCCTCTTATTGTTACAGAACCTGGACTGGATCGGCCGACGGAAGAACCAAGCGGCACCCGGAGACCTTGGAGGATAGGAGGTTTTTTAACGCCGGCGGGCTCAGAGGAGAGTGGTCTCCAAAGGTCTGAGCCCCGAGCACAAAGGGGGCAATTTATACACTTCTACTTCTGCATACTGGGCACTCTTGGCGCGTGCGCGAAGCGGGGCAGGGAGAGGAACCCGGATTGGTGCCCCCGGGAAGCAGAGCAGGGAGAAGAACCCAGAAGAGCCCCGGGGCAGGGGCTGGGACTCCCTCACTGCCTCAGTCTTAGGACCCAGATTTTCCTTATCATTTTAAGAACATCCGTTATTGGATTAAGGCCCACCTTAATCCAATATGAGCCCACCTTAACTTCATTAAATCCACAGAAACCCTAGTTCTAATAAGGGCACATTCATAGGTACTGAAGGGTAAGAATTTGAGCTTATCTTTTTGGGAGAGACATAATTCAACCCACAACACAGCCACCATCGATTCTCAACACACATCCAGAGAGACAATTATAAACCATTAAGTTGGACACGTTACCACTCTGCTCAGAAGTCTACAAAGGTTCTTAATTTTTTTTTGAGAGAGAGAGAGAATGGGGGGAGGGGCAGAGAGAGAGGGAGAGAGAGAATCTTAAGCAGGCTCCATGCTCAGCGAGGAGCCCAACACAGGGCTTGATCTCATGACCCCAAGATCATGACCTGAGCCAAAATCGAGTTGGACACTTAAGCAACTGAGCAACCCAGGCACCCCAAACGATCTCGATTTGACTTGCAGTAAAAATTAAAATCTTTATGATAAGATCCTACAGGATTTGCATCGAGAATCCTCCTAATTTTTCTCTTCTTTTTCTTAAATTTCTCCCAATGCCCGTTTATTCAAGTAATGATCGCCGTGCACGTCAACGTGCCTGAAATTGGGCTAAGTGCCAGATGTATTCAGATAGCCAAATGTGATAAATGCAGTGACAGAAATATTTACAAAATTAGGATGGGCTCAGGGCACCTGGGTGGCTCAGTTGGTTAAGCGTCTGCCTTTGGCTCAGGTCATGATCCCAGCGTCCTAGGACTGAGCCCTGCATCGTGCTCCCTGCTCAGCGGGGAGCCTGCTTCTCCCTCTCCCTCTGCCCTCCCCCTGCGCCACCCACTTGCTCACTCTCTCTCTCTCATGCTCTCTCTCAAATAAATAAAATCTTTTTAAAAAATTAGGACGGACCCAAATGAAGAAGTGGTCAATCAGATGGGAAAGGGGTTTGAGTCAAGGGAGTCTTAAGCTCCTTGGAAGTTGAACCATCTGAGCTGGGTCTGGAAAGATGAGTAGTAGTTCTCCAGGCAGACAAAAGAAATAAAAGCAGAGGGAATAGCATGTGCAAAGGCACAGAAGTATGAAAGAGCATGACAGTTTGGAAAATCCAAAATAATTAAGATTTCCCGGAGCTTAAAGTGCAGGGCAGTGGGTGGGGGGAGCCAGAGGGAGAGTAAGAGCCCACAGAAAAAGGTAATACTTGTCAGTGAAAATGATCTTGGTTTAACAAATTGAAATATCTGAAGATCCAAACAGATGAATTCATACGGTTGCTTTACCTTACAAAATCATTTAGTTTGAGTCAGAAAATATTTATTGATTTATCTGCAACATGTCAGGTAGTGTGCTAAGTACTGGGCACCCAACAATTAGTAAGATCAGTGAACCCCAAGTACAAGAGACATGAAAAACTACACCAAGGCACGTGATAATCACACTGCTTAAAACCAGTCATAGAGAAAATCTTAAAAGCAGCCAGAAGGAAAAAAAAAGAAAAGACACATTACATACAGATGATAGGAGATTTCTCATCAGAAAAAAGGCAAGCCAGCAGACAGTGGAACATCCTTAAAGTAGTGAAAGAAAAAAAGTCAACTAGACTTCTTCACCTAGTAAATAGATCTTTCGAAACAAAGGCAAAATAAGGAGTTTTTTTCAAATATATGAAAGCTGAGAGCGTTCAGCACCAAAAGACCTGAACTCCAAGAAATGTTAAAGGAAGTCCTTCAGGCCTTGTATAGGATGAAAATCTGGATCTATATAGGAGCACCTGGC